GGGGAACAATGCCAATTACAGCAGCATTATCCCTGATTATAAAGCTTCCAAGAGTCGGCTCACATCTCCAGGCGTGCTGTGCCTGAAATTTCCAGGGAACACTTGGGATCCAAATGTCTAGGCTGCCTGACACCAGGCCCCCCTGCAGGTGTGGGGTGCCAGGCAGGTCTGGCCCCACCGTCTCTACTGACTTGTCTCCATTCGCCAAGGGAGGGAGACCACTGTGGGGGGAGGGGAAGGGAGAGGAGCAGTAGGACACCCCAGACTCCCACAGTTCTGGGGAACAGGAAATGAGCCATGTGAGGCAGACAGGCCATCTCTGAAGGAAACTGGCCCCTTCGTGGGCTTCCTCGGCCCTGGAGGCACCGGGTACTAAGGCTCTCTCTGTCCCTCTCCCCACCGCGGGAATCCCTCTCCGCTGACCTACGGAGGCAATAGAACCACACGCAGTTGTAGCCAGCCCAGTGATGCCCCTTCCAGGCCATATGACCTTTGGCCAATGAGCTACTCTGGATCATAGCTTCTGCTTTAGTAAAAGGGGGGACAAGCCCCTCCTTTCACAGGGTGTTTTCAGGATTAAATGAGATATTGCAGATAAATAGCCCAAGGAACAGAAACCAGCACAACCTCTGTGTGTGAGGATTTGGCAGTGCTGGTGGAAACAGCACGTGTCCACACCCTGACCGGTTCGCAGGTATGGCCAAGGACGTTCCCTGCAGCCCCTTCGGTGGTGTGGGAAAGCTGTGAGCAACAGAAAGGCCACTGTAGGAGGCTGATTGCATTGGGGCCCACTGGCCCCGCGGAGCCCTTCGCTGAGGCCGGCAGGTCTGAGTTGCTGTCATGGGCAGATCCCCACCTAGTGTGGCCGATGAACAAAGCAAGCGCGAGTAATACCTAAGGAAAGATGCCATTTAAGCTTTTCAGAACCCCACATAAGGACTATATATCTTATATGTTTGTATATAAGCGTATATGTGCGTAGATGCATAAAAACAGCCCCGAGGAAAACACACCCAAATGACTCAGTGGTCAGCCCCGGGGGAAGGGTTCGGGATGTAGGACTCAAGGTGGCAAGAGCACCGAAAGGAATTTCACTTTGCTGTAGTTTGGCATTATGCGGTCACCTCACTCACGTAGACAGACATTAAAAAATATAGCCCTGGCTGATGTGGCTCAGTGGACTGAGTGCCAGCCAGCAAACCAAAGGGTCACCAGTTCGATTCCCAGTCAGGGCACATGCCTGGGTTTCAGGCCAGGTCCCCAGTAGGGTGCATGTGAGAGGCAGCCACACGGATGTTTCCCTCCCTCTCTTTCTCCCTCCCTTCCCTTCTCTCTAAAAATAAATAAAATTTAAAACAAAACAAAACAAAGCAAAAAACATGCTACCGCCAAGTGCACAGAGCAGGGCCTGACTCATGCTTGATCAAGCTCAGCAGCTGTAGCTGGAACTGCAGGGCAGAGGGGCTGAGGAGAAAGGTGTCTCAGTGTCTCATGCCAATGTCCCCAGTTCCTGGAGTCTGGATTCAGAAAAGGGATAGCCTGTCAGGTGGACAAGTGACATCGTCTAGCATCCAAAAGGGACAGAGAGAGACGCTGCTCTTTCAGCCTTCCTGGGCTGAGGCCACGGCCCATCTCTGCTGGCTGAGCATTCTGCCAAGAAAACTATTGAACTACATAAAAATCCATCCTGGAAACCCCAGAGGCATCCTTAGAATGGAGTGTGGCCTTTAAATTAGAATGTTTAAAAAAAAAAAAATACAGGGCAAATTTGCCTGTAACTGGATTTCAGGTTAGCGAAGGCTGGTGGCCAAAAAGCAGTGGCTGTGCCTGGCAGAGCACCCCCACCCCTTGCCAAGGTCCTGCGACGATATTGGCTGTGAAGGTGGGGTTCCCTGTGCAACATGCACGTGTTCCCATGGAAACTCTGCTTTGCAGAATCCTCTAGAAATTGTTGCCGAGGAGGGGCCACCGCTCCCCACACCCACTTTGCAGTTTGGTTTCTGGGGATGGTTTTCTCCAGCAAGTGCTGAGAGGAGCAGGAGCCGAGGGGGGCAGGGAGGCTGACACCCACGGGCAGGGGGCGGGCAGGCCATTTCTGAGCTGCTGCCCTACAGGGGTCAGGGGGAGCCGAGGGTGTCAGGAGCACTTGGATGGTTTCAGATGCTCTGAGACTCTGAAGAGGGCGGCAGGGCATGACTTGCCAGGAGAGATGGTAGGAAATGCAGGTCAGCGCAAGGGCAGGCCGGGCCTTGGGGCAGGGCCCGACAGGAGGAAGCAGCGCCTGAGGCCTGGCCCTCAGGGCAGCCTGGGGCTTCTCCTAGCAGTTCTTGGCTCAGCGGGTGCCTTCAGGATGGCTGCCATCCTCCGCCCTTAGGGTCTGAGGCTCCCCTTCTCCTGGGTGTCACCTGTTCCCCATCAGGCCCCCTTCCCTGGGGCACTGTCCTAGCTCTCCTTCTCCAGCCTGTCCTGAGACGCCCCCCACAAACACACACACACACACACACACACACACACACACACACACACACACACGCCCCTCTCTGTTTGCCTCCCTGCCTGCCTTGCAAGATGCTCCCTGCAGGGGCAGCCTCAGAGCCTGGGTCCCACCCCCGCCCCCACGGAGGCCTGCCCCTCACTTAGCAAGCCCCGCCCGCCACGCTGCCTCCGGGCATCTGGCCTTTCCTGACCTGAAGGATTAGTGGAGACAGACACGGGCCGCTGGGCCTCGGCAGAGTGCGGAGTTACCCATCTGTCCTCTCTGAGCAACATTGAGCAGCTTTGATTGTCACTGAAACCCAGGCTCAAGTGGACATGGCTGCTGAGAGGTGGAACTGGGGAGGCCAGCGGCCACCTGGCCCCCAAACAGCCTCCAAGTGGGGTTCCTCGCTCTCCTCTTCCCTACCCACTCAGAGTCACCCGCAGGCCTGCCCCGGCCTGTAAGGGGCTCTCCATCCTCTCCTCCTCCCTCACTGCCCCCTGCTCCCCCTGGAGAATCTGTCACCCCTCACCCCTGTACCAGCCCATCTCCATAGGCTCTCAGTCCCGGGGTCAGGGGAGGGAGTTGGTACCAGGTGCTCAGTCTCCTTTGCTCTACACCTGAAGTCCTGGAAGAGTCTTCCCCCACCCACCCTGTGTCAAAGCCCCTCGGAAGTGTCCCGCCCTTCCTCTTCCTCTTCCTCCTCCTCCTTTTCCTCCTTGCCTCTTTTCTTGCTCGCATCAAAACCTCCTGGCTACATAGCCTTGCCCTGAACCAGACGCAGCCACCACGCTGGCAACGTCTGCGTTGACCAGTTGGTGTCTGAGGGCCCCATAAACCCCAGGGAGGAGTTGGGGTTTTGTTCCAGGTGAAGTGGGGACTGTTGAAGGTTTTGGGTTTTGAGGACAAGGAGGGACAGGACCCACGTGGAGAAGAGAGTGCAGGGGAAGGGCAGCTGTACCCGGGCCAGGGTCGGGGCCAGGGTGGGGGCGGGGGGCGGGGGGGCGGGTGCCGGGAGGCAGAGGGTGTGGTAATCCTGCCAGGCTCCCCTCTCCACCCCTGGGGCCAACTGGAAAAGGCTGATCCCCAGCCAGAGGGGTTGAGGTCCAGGCCCAGCCAAGTGGCCTCCTGCTGGGCTTGCTGGCTTGGGGTTTCAGGAGGCTCCCTGCTCCCTGAGCCGCAGCCTCCCCTCGCTCCCCAGCCCCTCCCTGGCCGCGCCTCAGGCTGTTGGAGTCAGGAACCTGGACAGTCCGGCTCAGGGCAGCTTTGCCTCCCTCAACAGGCTCGGAGTTCATTAAACTCCAGCCTCCTGGGGAGCAGAGGCCTCTCCACCGAACCTTATAATCTAGCTCAGAGTCCTCCTCGCTGTGAGCTCACAGGCCGGGCCCAGACCCAAGCGGGGCGGCTGGACTCTGCTGTGGGCCCAGGGAGGCTCAGTGTCACCCTACTGGAGGGGCGGGGCTTCTTCTGGAAATCAGCCTCTCTCCACCCTCCACCCCCAGCTTTTCTGTCCCCGAGTTGAGGGGCCTGTGCTGCCTGCCCAGGGCCCGCAGCCCAGCGTTGTTAGGGGCCAGGGCTGGGGCTGTGCTTTGGGCCCCCCGCCCCTCTCATACACATCTGGGGTTTGTGTGCGAGGGCACCTCAGGGGCCTCTGGGGCCATGGGGGATGGGGAGGGAGGTTTGGCTTGCCCCTTTTACAAATGAGAAAACAATGGAAGGCCAAGGAGGGCATGGGGTGGAGCCTGACAGCCTGGGTGATCTGGACCCTTCGCTTTCCTCTTCCTGAGAGGCGGGTTTCCACTCACAGCAAGGAGCTGCTTCCAGTGAAATGAAGGATGACGTGAACCCTCAGAATAGTGGGAATGGCACAGGGCCAGGCACGGAGGGGCCACCGTCCACGTGGGGCCTGAGCTTCTGCAATGTGAAGGACCCCTCCACCCACCCAGGGGAGGCCTCAGGCACCCACCCAGGTAGCCAGACCCTGATGGAGATAGGTGGTCCTCGGTCCCCAGGGGGCCTGGGCTACGCGTAACTCCGATAAAGACAGAGGAGGTCGCTGAGGTCAAGATGGGCCAGAAGGAGGGGCCTTAGGGGGACCGGGCCTTAGGGTGGAAGGAGGAGCAGCTGAGGCCCAAGGGTGGAGAAGGCTTGAGGGAAGGGGGTGACGAAGCAGTCGGCACAGTGTGTACAAAAGGCCAGGCAGAGGGGAGATGACCTCGGGGTCCCTGGTCGGGGGCAGAGAGCTTTAGGCCGTTTGGCTCCTGGTTAGCCCGCACCTCCGCCTCCCCTGCTCAGAATGATCTGGATCCCCTTCCTCACCAGTGGGCACCGGACCTTGGCTGCTCTAGCACCCCAGCCGCTCTGCTACCTCCTCGGCCTCCCGCTCTGTCCCTGAGGCCAGTCCTTCCTCTGCACAATTCACTCTTCCCCACACCCCATACTTCCCACGCCAGCCCCCAGCTTCCCCCGGGCGGCCGCCTTGTGCCTTTGGCATAGATGGGCGAGGGCAGGGAAGTGGGGCATTTGCAGAGTTGCTCCTTTATTCACCCACTTGGTGTGCATACAGCACTGACAAGGGTCCCTTGCCAGGTCTCTCCTGAGGAGCTCCCAGTCGCCTTGCAGGCCATGGCACAGGCAGGTGCCAAGAGAGCCTATATGTCTCGAGGGGGCGAGGAGGGCTCTGGGAATGGCCGGGGGCGCACGAGAGCCCTTGGATACTGACAAGGGCCCGCCTCGCTGAGGGAACAACTTGGACAAAGGCCTAGAGATGGGAAACACTGGGCGGGTGTGCAAGGGTGCAGAGTGGGGGCGGGGCAGGCCAAGGCAGGAAGGCCTGCAATGTGGGGGTGAGGGAGGGGGTGCCCCGGAGCCTCACTCTTGCTCCAGATCAAGTCCTTTGGATGGAGGGGCTGCCCCAGAGCTTCTGATCCAGGGCAAGGCCTATGGGCAGGCGGAGCTGTCCTAGAGATTTTCATAGACCAGGTTAAATTCTCCGTCATTCTCAAATCTATGTGGATTTTCCTGGGGGGAAAGGAAAAGAAATAAAAATAATAGGGAAAAGAACAAACGCGCCCTAATTTCATTTTAGTCAAAGGCAAACCAACAGATGGCTTCCTGTGTGCCTGTGACAGGGAAGCCTGGCCTTGTCCCCAAGCCTACCCCGCCCCCGCCCTCCTGCCCCATGGGCCTCCCCTTCCTGACTCGCAGCCTCCGCACACGCTCTTCCTTCTGTCTGGGAAGTTCCTTCAACCCCACCTGCTCCCCCAAACCTCCTACTCACCCAGCATCTGCAAGAACCCCTCTCCCACGTCCTGGTCTGCCCTTCTCCAGAGCCCACCTCTCAGACGGGGCCGCAAGCGTCTGTGTGTTTGTCGGGTCAGAGACCCTGCTCCTGCAGCCCCAAGGCTCCTGGAGAGCAGGGACCTGTCCTACCCTCCTGGCCAGCACCCAAGGCCCAGCCCAGGGTGGGCACTGCCGGAGCACTGCCTGGATGACTTGCGCACTCCCGGGGCCCCAGGATGGGGAAGCCCTGCCTCCAGTGAGGGCCTCGTTCAGGGCGGAGCACAGAGACGGCTTTGAGAATAGAAGTTCACCAAACAGTGCCAGCCTGGGCCCCCTGGGCCGGGGAGACCAAGCACCAGCACCGCCCCCCCCAACTTCTTGATGGCTCTTCTAAGGTACCCATGGGCCTACCCACCACCCATGGGCCTTTGTATCCGCTTAACAGCCCCTTCTGTTTTATGGGGTCTACATTTCTGTTGTCGATGTTATTTAACTTGGAACTCCTTTGAACTCAGGGGCAGCCAAGTGTCACTCATCCACTTTACAGATGAGCAAACGGAGGTTTAAAAGAGAACCGTGATTAAGCGAAACGCCCTGGGCGCCGGCACGGGGGTCAGGGAGCCCTGGCCAGGCCGGCCCAGGCCGGCACCAGCTCAGGCTGCAGCGCCCGGCCTGAGCCGCCATCAGCTGGGGGCCGCTAGAAGCCTCAAGTCCCTGCCCGATTGGCCGGTGTAGACACGGCACTGTGCCCAGTGGTAGTCACAACGGTGCGCATTGCACGGGTGCCTAGTGGGTTCCGCTACAACATTCAATCCTCACGGTGATCCTGTGAGCTGAGTGCAGTCAGGCTCCTCCGTTTACAGACAGGTGGCTCAGGCGCAGAGGGCGGGTGCTTGGCCAGGGCTGCCCAGCGGCTAAGGGGTAGAGCAGGGCCTCCAACCCACTAGCGCTGTCACCGCCAGGCCAGCAGCCTCGGGAGAGCACTTTGATTCAGCAGCCGGGGCTCACTCCTGTGGTCCTATTTGCCCCCCCTCACAGCGGAGGAGAGGGTCCGATGGAATTAAGGGGAGCCAGGCCGGCTGCCCTGTGCCCTGCGTACCTTGGGGAGAAGGCTCCTGCCGAAGGGCGGTCTGCTGGTCTCGGGCTGCATGCAGGCGTAGACCTCGGTCTCCTGGCGCTGCAGGGCCTGCGGGAGACGGTATGAGGGTCAGAGGGCTGTGGCCAGAGAGTCAGGGCCTGGCCCCAGCAGCCCGAGAGAGCTCGGAACACGGGTAGACCCTGTGGGCCATGGCCCGTGAGGGGACGCGCCACCACGTCTGGCCACGCTTGTCGTACCCCCCATTCCCTCTCTTGGAGCCACCTTGCCTCTTCGTGCTTGTACAGGGTGAGCCCCCTCTGTGCCCCTTGCCACCTCCCTCATACCACCTCAAGGCTCCGGCCAGCCAACCCCAGGCATGACATTGCAGAGATAGCTCCAATGCACGCCCTCCCATCACCCGCCCTAACTCCCCTGGCCCAAACCCCATTCCTGTGATGGCCCCACGCACCCACCCGTACTAGATCTCCCTTGAGGCCCCCCACACCCGCTCCAGCCAGCACTCACAGATGACCTGGGCACCCACTGGGTCCCCCTTCTCTCCCACCTAGCTGTCCCCATTTAGTCTCTGGGTCTCTGAACACATGGCTATGCGTGGCACGCTTTGAGAACAACACCGAATGATCTATGATGAGAGGATCCTAAGTCACTCGGGGGTGCATTTTGGGGCCATGCTCACTCCTGGCCCAGCTATGAGCAGCCTGACCAGGGGCCTCAGGATGGTGGAAAGAATCAGGGCTTTGAAATTAGACAAGACTAAGTCCAACTCTTGGCTCTGATACCTGCCAGCCATGGGCAACCCCTGAACCTCATTTTCCTCATCTGCAAAATGGGAATAATCACTTCTATCTTGCAGGCCCAACCCCTGATTAAATGAGATATTGCGTATGGCAGGCCTAGCATAGGGTCTGGAAAATAGTAGGTGCTTCATAACTGTTGAATCATCATCAGTTAAATGCTCATAAAAGAGGCTTGACACCACCCTCCCCCTTCTGTCGTCACAGCCTGGACCCCGTTTGGGACTGTCAGAGATGCTGTTGGGGACTGCCAGAGCAGAGCCACCAACAGCCCAAGCGAGAGGCAGGAACTTTTCCTTCCCACATGTACATGTCGTAGGGATGCCGGCTGGTTGCCAAGGAGGTGGTTTCCCTGGCAACAGGCAAGCAGGGGTTGCCGCGGCAGGCTGGAGAGACAGGTGGTGCTCTGAGGCAAGGGAGGGGGGAGGCACTGATGGGAGGAAGGAGGCACCGAGAGGTAGTGGGGCATGAAAACCCGTGTAATAAACCATTTGGCTCTTGGGAAACCCTCACTTCAAGGGCATCACTCACAGTGATAGCAAGGTGGCCCTGGGGACCAGTTCAAGGGGCCTCTGAGTCAGAAAGAGGGTAGGTGGGTCACGGGAGAGGGGCTTCCAACCGGCCTCCTGGTAGGGAAGGGCGCAGGGCCGCCCCAAGAAAGAGCCCCAATTCCAGGGAAAGGACACTTCCAAGGCCTGCTCTGACCCGCCGGGTTGTCATGCCTGCCCAGAGCACTGGCCCTTGCCCACAAGCCTGGCACACAAAAGCCCTGTGCCCCTCCCCTCTGTCCTCTCAGGCCTGGGTCTCCACAGGGCTGACAGCCCCCTCCAGCTGGACCCTTCTTGTCACAGAGAGGGGGGAGGAAAAGGGCCTCCTGCTGACAGCTGCGCAGCGGAGCGGACCTGGGGTCCCACAGGTGACTCCCTCCCCACTGTGTCCGGCTCACGTGGGCTGCCCGCCACACGTTAGCCCAGAAAGGCCCAGAGATGTCTCAGGTCACACAGCCCTGGCCCGTGGGCTGAGTCCCAAGATTGGAACTCAGGCCTTTTGCCCCCAGCTCCTTGTGCTCCCATGTGGCCAGGGGCTTTCCGGGCCAGAGAAGAGCACCCTGCCCCAGGACCCCGCGGGCCTCTGCCACACGCAGGCAGGTGGCCATGCTGTGGCCAAGGGCAGCTGCAGAGGTGCTGTCAATTAGCAGCTGCGCAGCAAAGCTTCCGACAGGTCCTGACCTGCTGGCTGCATTTGCATTCAGGGTGTGACCTGCGTCACCAGGCTGTGAAACACAGGGCAACCTCACAGGCTCTGAACCAGCCCCTGCTGGCCTTCCTAGGTGACGAGGAGGCCTGCCTCCTTCGGGGTGTGCCTGCTGGGAGAAGCCTGCCCAGGCCTCGGGGTGGGCTGCTCTGGGCTGGGCTGGGCTGGGCTGGGGCTGTTAGTCTGGGGGCTCAGGCTCTTCCTGTCCTTTGCCTCCTGCTCCCAGTGGGCGATGGTGCTGACCGGAATGGCCATCGACCCTGACAGAGGTGTGAAGCCAATGCCGAGGCCTTCCTCCAGGCAGGCAGAGGCCAGAGCTGAAGTCAGCTGTTCTGGGCCAGGACCTAATCTGAGGGTCCAGACATTGGTCCCCCTGTAATCCCCACCCCCTCATGACCAAGGAAACGCAAGAGCTGCGCTCTCGTGGGCACCTGCGTGTGGAGTGCGCACGATGCTCTCTGTGGGCTGTTCAGAGAAGAGCAGCACTCAGCAGAGAAGGAGCACTCTGCCCCAGGTCAAGGTCTGAAGTGCACGGCCCGCTGGGGTGACGGGGGTCTGGGGAGGCAGGGCTGGCGCAGGCCTCTCGTGCCAGGCGGAGGAGGAGCTGGCAGTGGGGAGCCGCTGGAGGTTTCTGAGTGGGAAGCAACAGCGTCGGTGTGTTCAGTAGGTCCCCACTGCTGCCACGGGGCACAGGGGGGCTGCAGCTGACAGCAAGAATGAGGGCACTGGGCCAGGCAGAGGCAGCACGGTGTCCACACGCTGCCTGGGAGAGTGACACTGCAGTGCCGACGCCCCATGGCGTGCCCACTCTGCACCTAGCACTGAACCCCGCAGAATCCTGGGCGCCTAGAAGTTAAAAACAGTCCTCCACGCATCCACAGGGCAGGCTGCTAAGCACCTGCTGTGTGCTGGGCACTGGGCTGGTGTGGGCGGCAGGGAGGTGCTGTGAGACAGACCACAATCCTGGGAGGAAAAGGCGGTCAGAGGGGCCAGGAAGATAGGCAGGTTGGGCCACGGAGTTTGCAATTTCAAAAGGGAGGTCAGGAAATGCCTCGCTGCAAACGTGCCATCTGAGCACAGAGCAGCGGAGTGAGGGAGTGGCCCCATGGACAGTCACAGAAAGGACACACTGGAGCAGAGGGCACAGCCAACACCAGGGCCCTGTGGTGGGGGCATGCCTGGTATATTTGGGGAGCAGCAAGGGGGCCAGTGTGATCGGAGCGAGTGACACAGAGTAACAGTGGGAGGACATGGGAACAGAGCTCTTGGAGGCCACTGTCAGGGCTGTGACGCTGACTCTGAGTGAGACAGGAGCCTTTGAAGGACGGCACAGGCACGAGGCTGTGTTGCACAGACCCTCAGCTCTAGGGATCAGCACTGACCGCAGGCGCCAGCTGCTGTGCTCCGAAATCCCTCCTACGCATGCGCCGGAAGCCACGCGCCGCACGGGCTGCTCGCGGCCAGGGCAAGCACGCAGGACTCCAGCCCTGGGGGACCCAGGACTCCTAGAACGTGGAGCTCCCAATGGCTTCGCTGAAACGTCCCGAGGCTGCGTGGTTGTCGGTGCTTCCTCTCTGCCTCCCTCCCCCGTCCTGGTCTGTGCCAGTTTCTGTCCCAGGTGGTTTCCCTGATGAACTACCACACATCTAACCCCAGCAGAGCGACTGCTTCTCGGAGGACCCAGACTCTCCAGAGGCTGAGAGCAGAACAGACGCTATCTGTCTGCGGTTGGACAGGATCACTCCGCGGCTGCCGGCTGCGGGACACTGCAGGGCACACACTGCGGGGCACACACTGCGGGGCACACACTGCGGGGCAGACACTGCGGGGCAAGGAGGGTCATAGGCCGGCCGATTCGAAACCAATTGCAAGACTCCACGCAGCACATGGTGGTGGCCCCCACCAGCGCTAGCCCTGCAGGGGCGAGAAGGGTCAGATTCCAGATGTGCTTTGAAACACCATGTGCTGATGGATCAGACATGAGCAATGATAGAAAGCACAACTTCAAAATTTTTAGCCTGAGCAACAGAAAGGATGGAGCAATCATTCACTACCAGGAGGGAGTGGTGGGGAGAGGTACTCCCATGGGTAAAGAATTGGTTTGGGCCCTGGCTGGTGTGGCTCAGTGGACTGAGCCCTGGCCTGCAAACCAAAGAGTCGCTGGTTTGATTCCCAGTCAGAGCACACGTCTGGGTTGCAGGCCAGCTCCCCAGTAGGAGACATGTGAGAAGCAACCACACATTGATGTTTCTCTCCCTCCCTTCCCCTCTCTCTAAAAATAAATAAATAAAATCTTAAAAAAAAAATAGAAAGAAAGAAAGAAAGAAAGCAGATGAAACCTCCAAATAGAGTTGACTCTGGTGATTAGAGATGTCTGGGCTATGCTAAATTTGGGGGCTGCCACGTTGTGGGTGTTCTCAACGCCTTGAGGCTGAATAAGATCACCCAGGAAGGAAGTGAGGATCAAGAGAAAGCGTCCCAGAACTGGACCCCAATGTTTAGAGGCCAGGGTTCCACTGGTCTCTAAGGAAGAACCAGTGAAGGAGGCTGAAGAGGTGTGTTTGTGAGTCAAGGGGGGCATCAGGAGAGAGTGGAATGTTCCAGAAGCAAGCGAAGAAAGTGTGCCAAGGAGGAGGGAGATCTTGGTGCTGTCAGGTGCTTCTGATTCATCAGGGAAGGTAAGGAGCAGGAGCTGACCCGTGGATTTAACGGCATGGAGGTCGATGGAGACCTTGAGAAGAGAAGAGCTGGGCAGAAAGCCTGAAGCAGGTGGGAGGGCGAGTCACACTGAGCACCGACAGTTCCAAGGTGTTGGAGAAAGAGCCGAGTTGCTGGAGGGGGATGTGGGCTCAAGACATGGAATTTAAGATGGAAGAAATCAAAGCATGTCCGCAAACTATAAATTTAATATTGTATCATTAGCCCTATTTTACAGATTATGGAGCCAAGATGCTGAAAGTTTAAGTAGCAGAACTCATAAGCAAAACAACCAGGTTTTGAACCCCAGTCTGTCTGATCCACTCCAAATCCATGCTGCTT